TGGAGCACAGGTCCTGGATGGAGGGCAGGGGGGCTCCATGACCTTCTCGGCTGTTCTGACTACGCTGCAGCCTGTTCCTGTCCTGCAGAGTGGCTGCTCCAAACCACACAGTGATGGAGCTGCACAGGACAGCTTGGATGACGGCGGTGTAGAACTGGATCAGCAGCTCCTGGGGCAGACCGTGGCTCCTCAACTGTCGCAGGAAGTACATCCTCTGCTGAGCCTTTTTGAGGATGCTCAGAAGCTCAGATACTGGACTTCTAATTGTTGGAGCTGTACCAGTATTTCCAGTAAGTCAAACCTTGCTGCCCACTTTCCCATCACCATGGTTCTGATGCTTACATATAATCTCACATCAATTATGAAACGATTTCTTTATTAGAAACGAAGAACTTCTGACTGGCAGAAAAACACTTTTTACAGTAAAATAAAGAAGAAGAAGAAAACATGTCTACAACAGGCCAACACTGCTTATAGAGCTCCATAACACAGCCGGGCTGAACTGTGACCCAGTCAGAGACCCCAAACCTCCCCGAGACTCCGCTGATTCTTTGTCTACAATCACTTTAGTATATTTAATGAGTCCAAGCACAGTCTGACCTTCCCAGTACGAATGTTTTCAGACTCACAGCCTTGAAGTACAAACTCCAAACTTTACACTTCCTCCTTTCTTCCAGCATTTCTGAGTCTCAGAACTTCATCAGACGAGACGTTTTCATCTTTCGTCCGCTGAAGGCAGACGAAAGATGAAAACCTTTGACTCGCTGTATCTGGTTCTGACAAACCACCAAGCCCACATTCTGGTGAGTCTTGGAAGTTCACCCAGAATGCACTTTGCAGAGTTTCCTCTGGTGACTGATCAGAACCAGAACCACATCCAGGGTACCAGTGACTGTTCCTATGACTCTGTGTCATAGACATTAAACTGGTACCACTATGATCCATCCCATAATACTGATGCTAGCAGCTGCTGACAGAGGACATGAACAGAACCCAAGTTTATTTTTTTATGGTGAATTTGTCACTTTGTCATAATTAATCTGTTTTTGTCGTGAATTTCTGACTTTTTGTTGTGATTCTGAATCTTTTTGTGATTTATTTGTTTCGCTGGTAATTTCGTGTCTCTCTCTGATTTTTGCATCTTTTTGTGGTGATTTTGTGCCTTGATGGTAACTTGAATCTTTTTCTGTGCTGATCTGGTGTCAGGTTCTACCAGAACCCAGATGTGTTCTTCCTCCTAAATGTCAATGTACTGATGAAGTTCTGAGGCTCAGAAGTGATGGACAAAGTCCATTAAAGTGATCAATCTGGACCCTCCTCTGTGGACTTCAAGGACCTGGACCTCTGGAACATTCACAGTCTGAAGGTAGAACTCTGGTTCATTAAATATACTGAAGTAATTGCAGAGAGAGAACCAGCTGGTTCTGAAGAGGTAAACAATGTTCTCACATGTGCTTGTTTTTATGTGAAATGAACTGAGAGCAAAAAAAACGACCTCGAAGCCTTTCAAACAGATTTTCTTGCTGGCTGCTGACCGACAGTCCCAAACCATCTTCTGTTCATTATGTGAAATCCTCTCACATGAGTCCCACTGAAGCTCTGAAACAGAGCTCAACCAGCCCATGAGGTCTACAGCGCCCCCTGCTGGACCTTTCTGAACAGCTGCTTCCTCTGCTGGGCCGTCATCGTGTCGCAGCTCTGCAGCAGGTTCGCGATGATCAGGGTCTGCTGGATGCTTGAGGACTTGACCCAGAGCCGGCCGTTCATGCCGACCACCAGCTCGCAAGGGAACAGCGTCTCCAGGTCGGACCGGACCTCACTCTGTGGGGCCAGCAGCCTGATGGGGGGGCAGGACAGAGAGGGTGAAGTTGGACCTGCTCACATTCTGCTGTTTCCATTCGTGTGTCTGTGCAAACATCTCAACCTCCTGGTGCTGGATGATTACGGCAAAAACAATGATCAATCATTTTGATTGATATTTAGCTGATAGCTGACTCAGGGTGAAGGCAGGTTCACCTGGACAGGTAACCAGTCTATCACAGGGCTACACTTAGAGACAGACAACCAAGCACACTCACATTCACAC